AATGAATCTATAAAAGATATGAGTGTGTTTGAGTAAAGTTTCAAGCATGTTTTCGTGAGAACAATTAATATCACGATCTTTAGGGTCAAGGAAAATAAAAATTAGTTGAAAGTGGTCAAACTTATTAAAATACGATTCATAAGCCTTTGTGTTTCGAAATGCATGGTCGATAACATGATCAAATTTTTTGTTATTGCTGTCGAGGTCGAAGATTTGGATAGCTTTGATGAAAAGATTTTAGGTTAGTTGGGAATTCACTGCGGGGTCAGTATCATACGGCGAGTCTTCCTTGTATAGGATGACTGTGTGATCATAGTGCGTTATTGAGAATTGATTTGGCTTTCGTGCAATGAAGCGGTTAAGTGTTTGTGATAAAGCAAAGTTAGTGAACTGATTTAAGTGTAGTGCAGTGGTGAGTTGATTTATTGATGATGGCGTCGCAAAGTTTGTCATCGACGGCTGTTTTCTTTGAATTAATTTTGAGTGGGTTAAAAAATTTATAGATTGAGATCCAAGAAAGGGTGAGGAGAAAAGGAAATTTATTGAAGAATTGGGCTCGTTGGGCTTGGTTTTCTTCGTTTTTACACGTGTACTGAGGTTTTCAACTAAAAATGATGATGTATTAGTGTAACGGGGTTGATTACTTTGAAGGGATCGGGATGATTTTGGGCGATTGATTAAGCAGAGTGTTGTTGGGGTGTTTTTCGCTCCATAGGGAATCGTTGTACTTCAGTGGTCGCACCAGATGAGCTTAAGTCCGGGTTGGCTTTCTCATAGAGTATTTTGGGATAAAGTACAACATCTGTTTGTCACAATCTTATTTTCGGCCGGATAGGTTCGTGCAACTTCTTAGTCTAATATCAATGCTAATCCTACTGTTATATCTCCTAGTCTCAATAGATCTATAGTAAACTGGTTTTATTGCGATGTTTACAATCAACTAGTAGAAGAGCAACTGTTTGCTAAGTTAACTAAGTCTTTTCTGGCTAAAACTATAAATAATTTCAGCCTTACAATTTATTGTGAGTCTTAGTCATGGATTATAATTGGTTAGTTCTGATATTTTACAGAGATAGTTTATCAAGAATACAATTGGATATAATATATCCTTGTTTTGAACTGGTTTCCAGTACACCAAACCTTTCGTGTATTCAATGCTTTAATTGTGCTTTTTCTACGAAAGAAGGTTCTTTGTTTTCTGCAATGCTCTCAGCTTCGATTGAGCGACATCATCCTATTGTGAATTATTTTCATCCTCGTCTGCACGATACGAATCTCGGCAATGGAAAATTTAATGCTATTCTCGCTTAATTGCCCTCACTAACGATTCTGCGATAACTTGTAATATTGAGACACTGTCAAAATCAGATCAAGTTTGCCCAACTTTAATTAGTATCGTTTATAAACTTGCTTTATTTTTTGTAAACTCTTGATTCTTCAATTCTGCAACTCGAAACCAAAAACAGCAAAATTTTCAAACCTAAGAAAGATATCGTGTTATTGGAGAACGAAAACTAACACAAGCTACGCGACGACAATAACGGTAACGATTGTAATTTTGTCTTATTCTGCGACGACAGTAACCGACACAAATTTGCAACCGCGAATCAAAATGGCATTTTGAGTATACTTTAAGACTAATTTAAAAGTCGTCTCATCTCATCGTTTTCTAGGTGTCCCACTCTTTAACCCTACGATATTTAACCCCGTAACATGATAACCCCCAAAAATTTAACCCCCTTTTAATGACGATAATTTATAAGTACAGGAGAAGTCCAATTAAGCTTACTAATTGAGGCCTGAAAAGATAGTCTTAATTCACTTGCCTCTAGCATCTCAAAAGTAATTGCATTTCGATTAGTTAGAGAAATAATCCCTCACTCACGCGCTTAAAAAAGAGATAACCTACATGGTGCTAATTGAAGGCAACAAAAGACGTTTGTGAGTTTTATAAAAAATCATACTGCCTATTTCTTTAACCATTGTTATACCACTCTATCAGATCAGATATAATGTTTGAAGCGTCATTCCATTTTAGTTTATCTTCGAAAGACAAACAAATGCTAGTGGTATCAGGCCACGAGTATTACCTTAAACGAAAAAACAAGACAAAAACAAATTGGAACTGCTCAAAGTACCAAACCCATAAATGCCGCGCAACAGCAATTACGGATGGAGAAAACTTTATTGAAACGAGGGGTCAACATAATCACGATATTTCCACGGGCAAACCTGATGCTCGACTAGTTTTGAAAAACGTCAAGGAGCTAATCGATAGTAACACCCTAACCATCGCAGTCGCAACCGCCATTCAGCCAATTACAGACAACATTGCCACTCAACTAGCCCTACCATCCAAAGAAAATTTAGTTCGCACCGCACAACGAGCGCGCAAGCAACGAGAAGAAGTCTTACAAGTCTCCCCAGCAACCAGAAGTTTCGAAATACAAGAACTTTTCAAAAATTTTATAAGATTTGACAGTGGGCAAAATGATCACGAGAGGATTATTTTATTCGGCGACCCTGAAATGCTACGTGTGCTTGAAACATCCAACTTTTGGTTGGCTGATGGAACTTTTAAAGTCACCCCGAAAATGTTTTATCAACTTTACTCCATTAACGTTAGTCTTTCAGGAATAGCTCCTGCTTGCATATATGCGTTCCTGCCAAATAAAACAGAAAAAACTTACCACCGTTTCTTAGAAGCCCTAAAAATACTAGTCCCTGATAGTAGACCTGAAAAAATTTTACTGGATTTTGAGCAGGCCGCTATTCAAGCGTTTCAGAAAATTTTTCCCGATTTTGCTGTAGAGGGCTGGCATTATGGCATACAGTCATGCTTCAGTGGATCGCATCCCAGTATATGGAAAACGATTGCAAATTTGCAAAAAGACGCTTCCGTCCAAAAACTTAATTTCTATAACGCCTCGAGTGGGCACCAATTTACAAAAAAGAACAAATACCGGGTGCTCAACGAAAAAGTGCAGAATATTATGCATGTTTACGAAGAAAAAACTGATTTGCATTTCTTTCGCGCTATGGCGAACTTGAGTTAAATATTTGCTATTTAATCTATATTGACAAGCAATAAAATTTTTTCTATTTTTAATTATTTTCCTTGATTTTTCTAAATTGAGCTAGAGTCGATTTGAAACCGGCAAAAGAATAAATACATACAAGGTGTTGACTTTTCTTTTCCCTCCGCCCAACCCTGTAAGGTTAACCCATTTATTGTACCCTTGATATACCCGTTATCATATTTACCCGAAATTCAACTTTTTTGGGAAAATTGGAAAAATTTTTGTACGCCAGGGATTAGATCCTTTGATCTCTAGATTTTGAGACTAACGCTTTAACCACTATACCATGAGGCCTTTGGTTGTCATCCGAGTTTTTCTTCTAACTTTGGCTCTTTGATCTTTAATTGAGCCCATGTTTGAGTTTTCAAAGTGTAGATCAATTCTGTCGGCGCCAAAAGATCAAGGTCAAGAAATTCAAATGGTTTTGGACTGTTTTGTATATGCACCAATTTGAATCATGTCGGTCGGATTCGTTTTCAAGTTCATATCAAAATCTAGACTATCGGCAAGGTCATTTCTCTTCAAATCTAAAACGAATTTAGCAGCGTGCATGTTAACTCATTTTGGTTCGCAAAATTTTTCGCAATTAAAGCTTTGATGTTTACCGACGATATGGTTACGAATTCTTTTCAAGTAACTTTCACTTTGATTCTAACAATTGGTTTTAAAAAGTGGTTAAATTGTAGTGGGGTTATCTGATTTTGGGGTTATATGAGAGGGGGTTAAGAAAAAGGGGGTTACAAAACACGGGGTGATAAGCTTGGGAACCGTTTTCTAGACCTCTTAGTTCCGCTAAAAAACATATAAATTTTTATTTTCGAATTAAGTACCGCCCCATGCCTGTTTTAGTTAATACACAATTACTTAATAAATAAAACATAGCCAGCACACAGTTGGAAAAGAGTCAATTAAAACATGAAAACAGAAAAATGATTTAGTTTTTGAAAACATGCCAGCTTTCAAAATTTCATGAAAATTGACTTGAAATTTTTTGATTTTCAAGAAGGTTTTCTTAGTGAAAACTTTTTGATAAATTGAACTAAATTTTAGAAAATTGGATCAGTGGATTAAATTATCATTCCGCTTGGAAATCTGAAAATCAAATTTAATTTTCGAAATTTGAAGTCGATCACCTTTTTGATCACCATTGCGCTTTTCCTGTCCAATAGTTTTGATTACTTTTCTTTCAACAAAAAATGAACAGAACTTTAAAAGGAATATGAAATCAAACGGCAAAAAATCTAAAATTGGCATTCATAAATTTTAAGGTTTTTCCCTGAATAAAAACATATAAGAGAATGATCAAGACCTTTATAAGAGTCTTCATTAAAAATTTTCTTGCTTATTTAATTTTTCATAAGCTTGAATTGAATATAAAACCAGATATTTGGAACAGACAACTAAGTTTTTCAAAAACTGTGAATATATTTCCGCTTTTATGCTATGATAAGCGACATTAAGGAAGTTTAATTTATTCTGAAAAATAACCTTTCGAAAATTTTGTAATCAATTTGAATTAAATTCAACATTTTTCGTTTTATATTTCAACAAATTAAATGTCGCGGAGTTTAAAAATATCATCTCAAAGGTATTGTTGTATTGAGCTCAATCAAATTTAAAAAGCTGTGACAATTGTTTCCTTATTGTTTTCTTTGTTTCCTTATAAAATTGAAGCTTGCCCTCTCGTCTATTAAATACTTGGCAATGTCCTTAAAATATAACTTTGTATTTTGCACAACGTGTGGAGGGATGCTTTTCAAAACCAAATTTAACAAAAAAAAATCATTTCAAAATTTTTTTCTAATTTTTTTGAACACTTTTTTTATAGATCTTGAATTGCAGTCCGAACATTCAAGGCTTTGTGCTGATACGAGCAGTCATGTAGCCTTTCTGTTTGAGTCTGCTGTCTACTTAATGAAAAAAATGGGTTGAAACGTTCCAATACCTAACTCGAGACATCTTGAAATTCAAACGCAGCAGTTGAAATTAAACTTAAGGAATAATTAAATGCAAAGTGCTATTGTGGCAATTTTGTATTTGAGTCAAAGTCACGATGAGCTCCCGATAATGTTGCTAATCTTCGGGTGCAGGTGGGGGTGGTGGAGTTCCAGACATAGGGGGTGCTTCTTCCGTCACCTCAATTGGATCCTCTTCGTGTACAAATGCCCCCGGCCTCCGTTCTTCGTCTCCCTCCTCGTCCTCCGGGACTGGGGGTGGGGGAGGGGGTGGTTGTTTGCGGTAGATGTCTTCCTGGTTGCAAATCAACTGAATGAACTCGGACATTTCGATTGTGCCTGAAAACCATTTCGACACGTCGACCATCACCTCAGATCTTCTCATTAGTATCATCAGGAGTTTATTATGTTTATCTTTATTTTTTTTTTGGTTTCATCAAAACTCCCAGGTCCAGTTATCTTGAAAATCTTGTCAAGATCTTGAAGATTCTCGAACATTTGTCGAAGATAGCATAGAAACTTTAAACTACTTCCGGCTTTTTTCTAGGTACCTGTGCGTCCTTACTACATGAAAATATCCTCAGAAAAAAGTACGATGGCTCCGAAAGATCAACAGAAAAATTTTGGTGCAACAGAGTTTTTGGTGCAATCTTGAACCGATAAAGAGGATCGTCACTTATTAGTTTACGTAGATTACATAGTAGCGATAACATGTTAGTTTCGAAAAAAGTTTTATATCAAAAATGTTTCTTGCTTCCCTAAAAGCTCATGGTAAAAAAAAACAAGAACAACCGAAATACTAATTCGAACTATCGAATCCATACGCGAGTTTTGAAAATATCAGTTAAGAATGCTATATAATAAATCTGAGAAAGTTGCAATTAAGAAAATTAGTGCAAATATTTGAGTCTTCTCTGTTATACAGCCCAAAACTGAGATTTTTGTTATTTTAAAAATTGAATCACAATACTCAAATATGTTTGGTTGATATAAATCCCGCAAAATAAAGTCAGGATTTTTGTGATTAAAACAGGCACAATTAACAATTTTGATATCTTGAGCCGTATAAGGGAAAAGACGCGTCGGCTCACCCGAGTTGTCGTTGTCGATTGCCTGAAGATCTGCTAAGAAGTCCTCCTTTTCCGCTTCACTCAGGGGCTCGCCGAGTGACTGAACAATCTCACTGCAAATCACAGAAATAAACTGTTCAGCTTTTTATTATGAGAACCTGTCGTGAGCTTCGTTGAAAGCTTTTCTGTAATACTTTTTGCCTCAACCTCGAACCACTGAACTTTAAACTTAAGTTAATTCAAAACTGCTCTCCCATAAGAAAGTTGGACAAAGTTTGAATTTTTCAGTGAAACAGAGATAAAGCAACAGTGTTTAACTCGCAAGCATCCCGCACGAGCCCAATTGCTCATCAAGGCAAGATCCAGAAAAACTAAAAAAAACTTCAAAAACTTATAAAAGAGCGTAATAATACTTCGTGCATAATGGAACAATCAATGAGTAAACTGTTTTTTATGTGATATCAGTTTGTAATAATTTACTTTTTGTTCGACAATAACAAATATATTGAACTTTTTATCATATGACTGAAACAAATGAGCTCTGCCATCCAATTTTGTTATAAAGCAAACCAGTTCGAATTTATGGTTTTTGAGATTTCGTAATAAGTTTTGGAAATTAATAAATTTTTGTTAGAAGTACCCACAGGTAAGTCTTCAACCATTGACTCGAAATCTATCAAAATAATTGCCTCTGAGAAAAAAAAACTGCTTATAAGCTATGTTCATGTACAATTGACATCGCTTGTTCAACTTTTTATTTTGGAATTTTTGGTTTATCATCCCTTTTTACATTGCAGCAATTCTTCACGGCCGCAACTCTTCCCGGGAGCAACCATTGTCAATAGGAAATTAGCGATAAAAAAGTTAAAAAACAGCGGTCGCCATCGATGAATTATCGATGTTCATTGCCACAATAGCAAAATTTATTGATAAATAATTGCTAATTTGGCTAATTTTCAGTAATCAAACAGCGATAAAACCTGTAAATAGAGCAAAAATAGTGACCTACCGGGATTCGATCTTTCAACTAACAGTTTTAAAGATAAATATATTACCTCTGCGATATCATAACTTTATTATCACCAAGTTAAGGGGCTTATCAATTAAGACTGTCATTTGAAAGCTACTAGATTGAGTTGAAATTTCTTTTGTTTTGAGTTGAAAGCTACTAGATTGAGTTGAAGTTTTAGCGATGATTTTCAACGGAATCATTACTGAATTAGCCCTGTCATATCGCAAGTTAGCTATGCAAAAAACTCTGAACTGTTCACGAATCAGCGCTGGAAGATCGCGATCACTGGTATAATACAGAAAACGCGACAGTTAACGGTGGAACTTCAACCCGGGTTTGCATTACAGTTTTTGGCATAAATGCTAATAATCATGATATATAATGGAATTGGCATAAGCCTAATAAAAATTAGGAGTGAACTCAAAAAAAAATTTTCCCCCGCTTGATAATTTGAGACAACCAAACGCGGTTACTTTTTGCATATCAAAATCAACTCGTAGTTGCATACTCCAATTGATATCTATTGGAACCACAAAGCTCTTTACACACTTTATCCAGTGCTTTATTTTTGTTATCGAAAAATAGTGCTCGTAGAGTAAAAATAAAGTTTTTGTTTTGGATAATCACAAGAACAAGCAAGACGAGAAATCTCAACAATTATTTTTCTCTTAGTTTTTTAGAACCTATCACTAGATCGGTTCAAAAGTTGCTATGGCTTGATCGCATTACCTTTACTAAAAACTTCAGGGACAACCAGACTGAGAGGGGGTCAGCTTTTTTCTTTTTTCCTTTCGACTCGTTGACAAAAACGCCATTCTAATTTTTTTTTTCTACAAAATTGCTCGTATATGGCCAAAGCCTTGAATTTTGTAACAGCTTTTTCATGTCTCTAGAGTAGTTTCACATTAAAAAAAAACGATCAACATTTTAAAAAAATTAAGAAATTTTGAAAAATTTTTTTGACTGCATTTAAATAATTTTTGGCAGCCCGGTCGGCTCAAAACGAGTAAGCTTTGTATTTTATCATAATATCAGAGAAATGAATCAAATTGCTATTAAACTACCTTATTAGAAAAAACGTATATTTTCGGAACTATTGATACAATTTTTGAAACAACAAAATTTGAATTCGGTGCAACTCCTGAAGGGCAAAATTCTAAGAAAAATCTAAAAATCATGATCTCAAGATTTTATTAGCATACTCCGTCCCTCACGACGAAAGAACGGAAGTGAGTTTCACGGCCGTGTTGGTTCGTTTGTTTTTAAGGTTTTACAGCAAATCGAGAGCACTCATCTTTGCGTATTTACAAAAACAGCGCGAAGACACTATATATGCTTTCAATTTTGCTCTGGCGTAATGCTTCTTATGGTTGAAACCTTCAATGAGCGAAGTAAAACTATTTGCAGGTTGATCAAAAATGAATTTAAATCCGAGTAAAAACAATCAGCTGCTTTTAAAAGTTGAACTACGCAGCAAAGAAAAAACAAATCTGCTCTTATCAGGGCAAAGCCCTGAATGTTCCGACTGCCTTTTAAGGTGTATGGAGCAGTAATAACATTAAAAAATTAAATGTAATAAAACAAAACGAAAACTTCTTTTCTCTAAAATTTGAAATTGTCTATGAAAATAATCCCCCCGCACGCCATATAAAATACAAAAGGATAAATTTCGCTCCTTGTCACAAATAATTATGGCAAATAAGCTTCTTTCAACCAATTTGGAAAGATTTCTAAGACGGATTAAATCTCCGCTTACGCGTTAATAGCGCGAAATATATCGCGTGTTAATTGTCCCAAATTGGCCAAAATGGCAATCTTTAAACCTCGATCTCGTTACGAAAAATGATCACAGGTGAAATATCTTTTCAAATTTAAGCTCAGGACAACAATACTTTTCGAATAATATAAAAAATTCCACCGAAAATGGCTAGTTAAAAAGTCAAATTTTGTCTGTAGAAAAAAAAAACCCACCCCGAGCACAAATATTCCGTTACTTTCCTATCGAAAGTCGGAACAATAACGAACCAAAATTCAGAGTTAGAAAAGGCTCTATCGTGTCGCTTTTTAAGGTGAAATGATTAAGTTGCAAAGGTTTTTTATTTTCAGTCGGGACTATATTTGTCTGCAAAAAACAAGGAAGTTGGTCTTAACAAAAGTTTGTGGACCACCTATCTCTGAATTTGCTTAATCATAGTATCCCTATAGTGGTCCAATCGAAGATATCTTTTCTACTAGTCCTGAGAGTCGAAAAGAAACAAAAAAAAACACGTCAAGGCATGTATAAAAAAATTCCCAAAAGTTTTGTTCATTTTGAAATTATTCAATGGTACTATGATGCTGCTTTCAAATGAGATTCAATAGGCCGCCATTCAAAAAACTAATCGGTCTAATTAGGAAGGACTGCAGCAACTCAATATATTTTAATTGCTAATTATCAAAAGTTTATTAGCCATTTTTTTGCGAAAAAGGAGAAAGTTCATTTTGACATAATTAATTTTTACTCTAATGCTGTTTTCAAATGCGATCCAATGAGCTGCCATTCACAAAGCTGATAGGTCTAATTAGGGGGGACTGCTGTAACAATATATCTTAATTGCTAATTATCAAACGTTCTGTAGCCGTTTTTGCCAAAAGGTAGACAGGTCAGTTTTACATTATTCAATAGTATTATAAAGATAGTTTCAAATGCGATTCAATAAGCTGCTATCCAGAAAATTAATCGGTCTAATTAAGAGGGGGTCAAATAAAGACATATATCTAAATTGCCACATAAGGAATTTTGCGTCATCAGTTCAATTATGGTAACAACACAAAAGGAACGCCAGAATCTTCAAGCTATCAAATTTTTAATTGCGTTTTTTTAGTTTTTTAATTGGAAACAGTAGCAGATTTGGGAGCTCCTCTGTCATATGACCCCTTGGCCAACCAAAGGGTCCCTTTTGGAACATTTCTACATAACCCGTTTCTGTCTAACCAAATCTAGGTGTGATGAGCAGGAACCGACTTCATTTTTTAAAGTTCTTTTTTGTCAATTTATGTTTTGCTTTAATTTATTGGCAATTTTTTTGTTAGCAAATGCAATTTTAGATGACCAAAGGTTCTGTGGAAAAAGGTGACTTGAGTTACCGAGCTGTTTGTTTATCAAGGCGAAGCCCTGAATGTTTCAACAGAACTTTGAAACTTTAAGTTCAATATCAAAAACTTTTGGCTGCAAAAATGACTAAGTTATCAAAAAATAGAATGCTTTTGTTCCGACTATCGATACCGAAGTAACGGAATATTTGTGCTCGGGGTGGGTTTTTTTCCAGACAAATTTCGACTTTTTAACTAGCCATTTTTGATGGAATTTTTTTATATCATTCGAAAGCTATTGTTGTCCTGAGCTTAAATTTGAAAAGATATTTCACCTGTGATCATTTTTCGTAAAGTTATGAGGGTTTATAGGTTGTCATTTTGGCCATTTTGACCAATTTGGGACAATTAACGCGCGATATATTGCTCCCTTTAACGCGTAAGCGGAGATTTAATCCGTTCTAGAAATCGTTCCAAGTTGGTTCAAATAAGCTTATTTGCCATAATTGATTGTTACTAGCAGCGAAATCTATTCTTTTGTGCTTTATATGGCGTGTAGGGGAATGATTTTTATTTTAAAAAAGTTCAATTTTCAGAAAAAAAACTCATTTTGTTTTATTACATTCATTTTTAATGTTATTACTGCTCCATAAACCTTAAAAGACTGTCGGAACATTCAGGGTTTCGCCCTGATACGAGCAGTCTTGTTTTTATTTCAATATATATCACCATACGCTAATATAAACTACAACTGAATGTATTCATCTTTTGTCTCAATTCGATTGGGATCGCATTAATCCGCCGCTTACGCGTGGTGAAAGAAAGCAATATATCGAGCGTATTTTATCCTAAACTGTTCAAATTAGCCTTTTTCGAACCCCAAAGTTCTAAAATATATATCTTTTATCTTTTATATCATTTTATCATTATTTATATATATAATATATATATATATATATATATATATATATATATATATATATATATATATTATATATCTGAGAAAAGATTAACTTTGCAAATTTAATCAATTTTTTCTATGAATTAAAACAAAGTCATCAAAATTTCAATTTTTTTTTCATTTAATTGTCCTATAGTAGCCTTGGTTTCATTCAATGAAACAAACCGGCCAGTTGAAAGCATTTTAATTGTATGGTGTGAATTATCTGGATTCACTTTTCTGGATTCCGAGCCAATTTCAGCATCTCAAGGTCATTTGAGACGCTGATATATGTTTCGTGCTATTAACGCCTAGACAAAGATTTAATCCTTCTTAAAATCAAGAATTGAGGCGTGCTTTTTGTTCTATTCAAAATTTTGCTATGAGCAAAACATCGCGCTTTGCACTTTACATAGCGTACGATGGATGGATTTTTAGAAAAAACTCAAAAATTTTTTTTTTAAAATGAACACTAGACTAAATTTCTGAAAAAGAACTTATTTTTGCACTCTATTTTTGCTCCCAAAAAAGCTGACAGATTAAACCGTGAGTATCATAATAAAGCCCATTTGGTCTCTATTTGCATTGCAAAAATTTTTTAAAGATTTTTCTTGTTTCTCTCATCACTTTTTCAACTAAACTTACTAGAGTGGATGATTTAAAAAAAATGTTTGTGTTTCAATGTATTTCTCGGTACCTAGTAAATGTTCTAATTCAGATCTGAAATAATCTTTAGGAATAGGTTAGTTTAGATCTGCAGTTTTGTTTTTCTTGGTTTATTCAGATCTGAAATACTATTTTCAATATTGAATTTCAGATCTGAAATGGTTTGTAAAATGTTTAAAAAAACGCTTGGATACTTTAGGAATAGGTTAGTTTAGATCTGAAAATTTGTTTTTCTTGGTTAATTCAGATCTGAAAAAATCTATTTCAGATCTAATTTCAGATCTGAAATTTAGTTTTCCTTAGTTATTTCAGACCTAGAAAAATCAATGATTCTCAAACAATTTTGCTATTTTTGATACTTGAGTATTTGATAGCTTCTGCTAGCTAAAAAGCAAAGCCTCAAGCATGAGATAAACATTGGAAGCGCATAAGTAGCGCATGAAAACCAAAAAATTGATAGGTCTACCAACAAGTTTTGAAAACATTTTAACACAGTTGAACACCGTTAGTTAATCTAAACATAATTTTATATTGCAGAAACATCAAAAAAACTCAATGGTTTGCTCAGAATGCATAAATAATAGTTCATTAAAAGGTTTCTCAGATCCAAACTTCAGATCTGAAATTTTCAAATTCTAATCAAGATCTGAAATAAAAAATTTCAGATCTGAGAACCAATTTATCTGAGAAAAAAAGAACTTCAGATCTTGTACAGATATTTCCTTGAGTACGGGTTGTTTCCAAAAAATATGTTACTTCAAAGATAAAGCGTAAACACTTGTTTTATTCCACTTACATCACATTATTCGTTACGTGAAATAAAAAATAAAAAAAAGTATTTACACCATATTTTTGAACTTATAACTGTTGAAAAAGGGGACGCGTAGCGACATGAATGCGTGCACTTAGCATGCGCAATAAAACTAATTGCTCCCTTTGATGCTAAACGCATGCCTTGAGTTTCAGTTGCAAATGGGAGAAAACAAACTCAATTCTACTTGTGCTAACAGCCGCAAGCTAAGCGGCACGCATGCTAGTAAACTGGTCTCCCAATTCCCCCTCCCCCCCCCCCCCCCAAAAAAAAATAAAAGTCGCAACATTCTGCCCAAAGTTCCATAGATTGAAATACATAAAGACAAAGACTGACAGCATGCGGTCAATAGGAATGCGTTGAGTGCCTTCCTCGTCGAAGAACTGGAAGCTCTCCTCCAATTGTTGATAGGGATCCGGGTGTCCTTGCTCCAGGAAGTAGTGCATCAGCTGCACGAACTCATCCTCGCCCAGTGTACCAGACTCTGAAAATATTTGAACTCGTCAATTTAAATCAACTTATACTTTTTCAGTGGCAAACCAAAAATTTTTTTGACGCTACTATATTTTGTAAGCCATTTGTCACTTCCTAATGTGTTTTTTTTTTCAAAAGTCTGTTCGAGCATTTTGATGAGACCTTGATTATAACAATTGTGTTTATTAAGCCGTGCTCGGCCATTAAATCGGAGGCTTCAACTTTATGCTTTGTCAGCAAAATTGATATCAGAAACAAGGATAGTCGGAGGCAAGTAGCACAGAATGTTCCGAACATATTCATAAAAACTAAAAATAAAACTAAGTTTCCAGGTTCATTATTAAGTTATATTTACATTAAAAGTACACATTAAAAATTGTGCCATTTTTGTACGTGGTGTGATGATATGATGATAAAACTCGACAAGCGCGAAAAAAGTTCGTAAATAAGACATAATCGACAACACTCGATGGAAAAAAACGCAAAAAAAATTGAACAACAATATTTCCTGCGAGCGAAGTGAGTGCTTTTCAAAAAAAATTTTTGTTTGGAAAAATCAAGATTTTGTAGCCTAAGTGATCAATTAAACAAGTTATTGTCACTTTATTTAGTCGAAATTACAGAAAAAAGAAATTTCGAACCGGTTATTCTCAATACTACCGGAAAATTTTGAAACCGGTTTTTTAAGTTTGTTTTTAATGTCGCTGGAATCAAAACTGAAAGGGTTTTTAATATGATATATCACTCAATCCAGCCAGTCCGATGATTTTTTGTGGTACCTGATTTTGCGTGGAAAACCAAAAAAATAAAAACTCAAACACACCCGAAAACAAAGTTATTCCCTATTTTCAATGAGTTGGAAAACCTTGACAACCATGAATATAGCTGACAGACATTTAGAAAATAATTAATGAACAAAAATGTAAACTTTCGAATTTCAAAATAAAAATTAAATGGCCTTAAAGTTTTTTTGAAATTTTCACAGAAATTAATGATAAGGTTATATTTTTTAAATTAACCTAATCTGAGAAAACTGGATGATAAAGTAAAAATTTTTTCCGTTGGTAAATCTGAAAATTAAATTCAAGTTTCAATAATAGAAGTCGATAGCGTTTTCGTGACCTCCACAATTTTGCTGTTCGATAGGAGGTTGCCTTTCTTTTCACAAAAGAAATGAACTTAATTTAAAAGGAAGCAATTACCAAACATTGAAAAATCAAATTTGAGCTTGAGCAAAATTCAAGATTTTTTTTTAAATAAAAAGAAAAAAAATGATTAAGACCAAAATAAGGGTCTGAACTACTCATTGACTCTTAAAATTGACTCATTGACTCATTGACGCTCAATGAACAGTTTGGCTGACTTTGATTGAACTTAAAAGCTTTAGTTTTAAAGCAATACTCAAACACTAAAGAACCGTATTTTTTGCAGTGTTAGATCTCATGTTCGATAAGAAGATCCGGTAAATTGTGAGTTTTTTTTGTAGTAGATAAGCAACAGCTATCTATTCCATCAAGAAAATTTGTGTGCAACTCGAGACACGCAGTGTCGAGATGTGAACAAACTTCAAGATGCAATGTAATATTTGGTATGAAACACAGGTGAAAAATTTGAACAAAACTCACATTTGAAGTTTTTATTCTACCACGTGATTTTTACTTTCTGGTTTTATTTTTTTGTTTGATTGTTCTAGGAATGGCGGTAGCTGTTATGACGAAAATTATTTTGGCAGTTTAAGACAATGCTACACGCAGTTCCCCAATTGTGTTTCTGAAAAAAGTACACTACTTAAAATGGAACAGTTCTTTTTAAATGTATTAATGCTAATTTGTCTTCTTAATGTCGTGTCTTAATGTCTTGTCGCCCTATTTGTCTAGCGTCATTCGCTTATCAAATCAGCTAACTTCTGTGTAACGGGCAAATCAAAATCTTGTGAGCATTATTACTAAAACAGAATTAGTGACTATGTCAATGAGCAGAATGGTTCAAGAGCAGCAACGGTCTAAAAGCAGAAAAAACAGACAGTTATTGAATTACATGTGCTTATTGATAAAAATAAGTCTTGGAATAGCCAATGTTACCAATGAAATGATTATATTATCCATAAAGTTTTTAACAAAAAAGTAACAAAATCATGCAATTTATGTCTCTTCATTAATTTCTTCACTGCTTTACTTCATTAATTGACTGTTCTCACACCTGTTTTACTGATTAGCTAACAAAAATTTATAATTTTCTGTTTCTGCTTTTTTTCAGTTTTTTTGCTTACCGTTTCTGGTCTTAAACCATTTTGTTTATTACTCTTCCCCCTCAAATTGTATTGGGCCGTACAACGATGGAAAAAATAGCCTTTGTTAATATTTTTTTGTAGAAAGAAACTGTCCGTAAAGTGCTTCGGTCAAATCATTGCAACCCAGGCCAAGAAATCATAGAGGAAGACACGGGGCTTTACTAACTAGTATAATCGCCAATTTCTTCATCAAAAGTTAGTTGACTTGTTTAAAATTGGTCTGTCGTTAAACAGCCAAATATAAATCAAGCTGGTGCCGTGAAGGTCACCTGAATACTGGAACCTGATCTAAACTACATTTTATGATTGGATAAATTAGATATTTTACCAATGTAAAGTATTTAATATTAACCAATCATGATCCATCTAACTAACAACCCACTTATTTGTAAGTGCTGAAGTTACTTGTAATTTCAGCACCAGAGAGATTTGAATTTAACTTAGAAATTAGTTGGACTCTCCCGAGCACTTCAGCAGCCGCAATAAACCAGTATACCCTAGATCTATTGAGCCTAGCAGAGACTAGTTAAACAACCTGAGACTAGATAGTATAAGAGTAAGATTAGGATCGGTATTAGACTAAGAAGTTGCACGAATCTATCCGGCCGAAAATAAGATAGCGTGACGAGCAGACGGTGTACCCTATCCGAAATTACTCTATGAGTTATACACTCCAGTCCTAACTCATCTGGTGCGACCATAAGTCTCGAACAAGACCTTAATAGCTTAGAATTAACCAAAATAGATTAGAAATTAGACAAAAACATCTACAAAATGTTATACGACAATAATTTAATCGAAATGTCTCTACGACTCAATAGATCAGAGCCAATATTCCGAACCATAACAGAACTACCCGGAATTGGAAGAAGACCTCGAACCAGAGACGACATACGACAAAGTAGAAACTTACCATATAGCTATATGATAGTTAGGCAAAAACCAGAACAAACTTTTATATTTAGAATACTACTGGCAATGAATTTAGATTTTCATTTGCAAACATAAAACCTTGAAGTTAATCTTCAAAATCATTTCAGGCGCTAAACAAAATTATTAATATACAATAACGATTGATAAAAAGATCTAAGATCGTTTTCCTAAAACTCTGCAGTAATATACAAAACATGTTTGAAAAATATTTATTGAAAAATAAAAAATAAAAATTAGTAGCATGACAATAAATGGTTAGTAATCATAAATCATCCTGTTGTTCCAGCTCCATCACCTAAAACATAACAGCAATCATAAACCCACTAATATCATCAAAACACTAAATCTTTCCTTTACACACATTTAAAATTTTATTAAAACTTAAATTCACTTAATTTTAAAACCAGATCATCAAGGCTTATCCTTGGATCTTAAATCATTTTCTACTTAATTAAATTTCAAATTTGATCATCAAGGCTTATCCTTGGATCAAACAGAACAACTTTGTTCTCCCCCACCCACTTAATTAGTGTCTAACGACCTCAAACGTCGATTCACTACCCAACCCTTTCTAAAGACCTAAGACTAATAGAAATTTTTAAACAAAACTAATCATTCAAATTAGGATAAACAGTGAAGAACTTCGGTTATTCATCCTTCACTTGACCCCCCCCTCTTAACAGACCCAGGATAAATCTTAGACTTAGTAAGTTTAAAATAGTATCTAACGAACTACTCGCGTTCTAATTATACCTGAACCTTGTGGATCGATTTACTATTCTCCAACCCTTGAACACAATCACTACCCCTAAGTAAGATTAAGTAAGTTAACACCTTAACTTATACTAGCCACGAGAAAGTAAAAAATCATTCTTCGGAATCGATATACTTTTCTCTCCAACCCTGAACAAATAGACCCAGGTTAAGCTAACCAAAAAATCGTAAGAACTAACAGTTTAGGAAAATAGAAACCATTTAACAACCTTTTGCATCCGTCATCCTAAACCTTATGTCATTTAAAAACCTAGGAAATAAACAAACAATCGTTTTACACAATTGTGAAATAGATAACAAAAAATACGACCTTGTAATCACACCTCATACACAAACAGTTGGATACATTCGAACAAAACGACAAACACTAAAAAGAAAAATAATAACGAAACAAAGACAAATAACACGAAAAAGATTTTCAAAAAATCGAAACGCATTTTCAGAATCAGAAACCAACAGTTTAGACGAACTTTACAAACTAAAAGAATCAATAGATAAAAATTGCCCACTTCACGATCAATTATATTTTTCTGACTCAGAAACAACTTCAAATTCATCAAAAAGAGGAAAAAGAAGAATAAAAAAACAGTATAAACACAAACCAGTACATTTATACAATTGGAATCAACCAATTCGACACATTAATAATTACATATTAACAGTCATCGAACGAAAAAATGAGCTCAACGCACACCCCAGGTGACGAAACCCCAGATGATGATGAAATCTTTCCTTTTATAGTAGATGCAACCACTGATAGAGGACAGCATATATTTTGCAAAAATTTACTATTAAATTTATTTGAACCCGGAATCAGTCCATGTAAAACAGAGTTCCCAGATGTAAAAATCAAAAGACAAATCATAGACCACTACTTAAAAGATATATGCAACATAACACAACAGTATGGAATCTACTCCATAGAATTCACCTCACCAAACCATAATAATAGAAAATATACAATCCAAACAGACGATCTTGATTTAGAATTTTCAAAAGTTTTTTCAGAATAT